AAATAATTGACATATAGAACCCCCACAGAGACTATATAACTGCAGTTATTTCCTGTATGAAAAATAATTTGTATATATTATTTTATATAATTCATATTAAATAAATTTTTTTATTACTATTTATTTAATAAATAAATTTGCTTTAGGTGTATTGTTTTAAGAGAGAACATCGAATATAATTTTATATTAAACAATTTCTACAATAAGTTTTACTTCAATTTTGACATGGTTATGGTTTTATAAAACTCTTTTGAAAGAAATTTAATTATATGCTTTTGAATAATTTTTTTTATTAAATTTTCACTATGAATTTTTTCTAAATTAATATTTTTATTTAAAATCTTTGAATGCAAAATTTGCCTATGGGGTTCCATAGCAACAGTAGAATCCACTTTAATAATATAAAAGACATGGAACATGTCCTCACAAACAAGGATGTGTGCATACATTTTAATATTTACAACTAAGCTTACAAAACCTAACTTTTTTGTATTGGAAACATATTGACGGCTTAAGGCCTGAGAGCCAAAAATGCAATTGAGCATCACCACCGGCTGCATGCTGCATTCAGTAACAATCACTTTTTTTTTGTTTAGGCATAAAAGGGTTGAGTTGTTGGATCGTTTCTCATTTTGGCTTTGGGCATAAAGTGACAACAACAATTGTCTGTCATTTGTTTTAATTTTACACCTCATAGCACATTTGTATCGATGGTCTTCCAAAGCCCCTACCCATTTTGAAGGATTCAATGTCGTTGCAGGCAGTGCAACCGATTGCTTGTTGTGGTTGTATGTAATTTGCTACCAAGCTGAGGTGCAACAATGTGTATAGTGTATAGTCAAAAGCAATCGTTGAATGCAATTCGAAATTTTGGTACATTTGCTGTTTTGTAGGTTAGTTTAGGTGGGTGATGCACATGTAGTGACTGCATTTCGAAATGACCATAATTAATTGCATATGCATGTGGCAGCAATTTTTAATATTGTTAATTAGTTTGCTTGAAATGGTAGCAAGGGAACCGGAAGTGGTGCTAATAGCAATATTTTATCTTCTCTTTTACCTATTTTTGGTTAAAATAGTAATGAAATATTTAAACCGAAGTGCACGTTTGATAACCTACACGTTATTAACTAAATTCTATTTTCTATTTACATTTTGGTTTAAGTAAGTGTTGCATTTTATTATCACCATTAATAGATAATGACATGTCGAAATGTTTGTTAAAAATTAAGTTTGTTCCACCCACCAATATACAAATACATAACACCATTTGCAATGGTAATATTTCGTATTGGTAAACAATTGAAATCTAAATTACATTGAATGAATAGCTAATTATATTAAAAGGTATTAATTTCACTTTTTATAAAACCAAGTCCTTTCCTTTTCTTGCAGTTTTATAAACTCATCTTTAAAAAATTTATACTCAAAGCATATCTCAATATTAGATTCTGAAGCAAAATAATTATTCTTTGTTTAAGAATAGAAAAATTTGAAAATAAGCTTAAATTAAAAACCGAAATTTTTGATGAATGCAATATTAATATATAGCGCACGGCTTGAAATATATTAAATGTCAATTAAGCATTACAGAAATATATATTTTAAATTACAAGAGAGTAAATAGTAGGCAAATGAAACAACAAATACCTATTTAAAAGAATTTTTCAGTTTATCATTCACCTATGTATTTGGAATACTCACCACTAGTTGACTTTGTCAGACACGGTTTATTGAATAGTCCGCATAAAATTTTTTAGACTGCGATTGACAGATCCAAACACCTATCACTTAAACCAAATATTACACTCATTACACCGTACTGATTTCATTCCTGATTTGGCACCCAAT